GGAAGAGAGAGGGAGGAAGAGAGAGGGAGGAAGAGAGAGGGAGGAAGAGAGAGGGAGGAAGAGAGAGGGAGGAAGAGAGAGGGAGGAAGAGAGAGACCCTAGAAAAGGTGCCTCATGACACATATGCTAGAGTGGACAACATCAGGTCAGCTGCCCTGTAAAACTCAGTTTGAATACAGCTGCTAAAGCTAAAGCTGGCATTTTTAACAGAACAGCCAAGAGGATGAGGCTTATGGCACTATGATTTCAGAACTCTTAATTGTAATTGTTTCATAAATGCTCAAAAGAATGAATTCTCACAGYTAACCAACTTTTTCCCCTATAAAAGGACTATTCTTCCCATTTTGTGTTTTGTCTAGAGGSTAGAGCACAATAGCTAAGCAGCAACAGTTACTAACGTTCCATCAAGGCTGTTTCTCCTTCCTCAAAGGAATCCTCTTTAGTATGAAATGAGATAATTGCTCATAAGTTTTCAAACAGAAGTAACCTGAATCCTGTAGAAGGTGAACTGAATCACATATTTAATTCTCTTTCCTCTTTCCCTATACTTCTGATGGAAGTTAGAGATTTTAAGAACTCCTATTTTCCATGGCCTTAAGAAGGTTGAGGTCTACATGCTCTAGCTCTTAAACCTAGACAATATGTGGAACATCTAACTGCTGCAGGATTGGGATAGCATAAAAGTTTCTATTGTAACAAAGTTGTTATCACAGACAAAAATACCATGCGTGTTCTGCCTGCATTAAAATATTTCACATCACCCATTGCAATCACTAGTCTGCTTTTAGTGCGCTCTCGCCCACACGAAAAGGAGGCATTCAAAGTGTATTAGTCATTTCCATCAATAAGATGCAATTTCTTTCAACTCCTGGGTTGCATAATACATATCCTCTTAAAATTTGAATTGTCACAAGACATTTATTATCTCGATTTCTCTTTCAAGTTTTTAAAGAATAAAATAATCACTCACAGTAATCTAGCTTATTACCAAAAATTCCCCATTTGCAACACAACGCACAAGTCTCTGCCTTTTTCAGGCTTTTAATTTAACTCCRTAAAGTTAGAAAATCACACTGGTAATTACAAAGGGGAGACTGAGACAACAATTTCTTATTTTAAATAATTTTTATTGGCAAATTCCATTTGTCTCATACCAGTTTGCTAGACTGTAGGTATCTGCAATAAAATTAAGGAGCACTTGCCTGCTAAAATGATTACCTTCATGTATCAGACTAATACGAAAAAAATGCTAAAAATAAAAATCCTGGCCCAAGATAAATAGCCCAGTTTGTTTAAATATCTAAAGATAAAAGAGGAAAAAAATGAGGAAAAACATACAGTACAAAGTCCTTTCATAACCAAAAGGAAGGTGAAGGTCAAAGTCGACATCCTCTCTAATAAGCTGTGAAACAAAAGCACCTTGGGCAAAAAAAATAAACAAAGTTCATAATGATTTTTGCTCAAACATCACTRAAGCTGGGGAAGGAGGTTGGGGGAAAAAGAGATCAACTTCTCAGCAGTGTCAAGTTGCTAAGTACCCATAATCACTCCAATAATCGTTGTCACAATGTGGCAAACACCATGTTCCTACCCACTGTGTGAATTTTTTTCCCCTCTGTGACAGCATGACAGCAGGTAGTAATTGTGCTACTCAAATGTCAGCCTACACGCAACCTTCTTTGCATGCTCAGTTACGAAAACGGAGGAGCACAAGTACGGAAAGGAGTGGATTGTCATATTCCATATCYATATTTAGATGAGTATGATGTCCTTCATAAGCCCCAAATAATTTCAGAAATGGTACAGGGAAGGGAGGAATGAGGAGAAGCTCTCAAAGTCCTCTGCCAGTGCCTGTTCCTGCTAAAGCACTCGCTGTTCCTTCAGCGGAGCAGCTTCCTCCAGAACCATCAGGAAATCAAACAGACATTTCCGTGAATTAGAACAACATCTGACTCTGATACAAGAGGAGAATCAACCGACCTTTCTTAAGAGCAATTTAATCCAGATCCAGTACATTCCAACAGCAAAACCCACCTCCATCACAAGGACTAGAGGAATGAAAGAACCTCAGCACAAACCACTGGGAAAAAAGGCAACAAAAGCAGGGAAGGAAGGGAAGGAATGAAAGTGATGCCAGGGATGCTCTAGCTCTGTCTTGTGTTAATGTGAAACCCACAATGGGCTGCTTTACAGACCCAGACTCTGAGCACAGACCTGCCCTGAGGCGGGAGGGCAGCGGGAGCCCACCGCCACAGTAACACCCATGGCCTAGACAGCAACCCTAGGCCTAGACAGCAACCCTAGGCCTAGACAGCAACCCTAGGCCTAGAGTGGCCTAGGAACGATGCCAGCAGGAAGAGCCAAAAACACTCTCCTTGGCTTCTTCTCCCCAGCAACCAAGACAACAACCATGAACATGACAGCAAAGGGAGAAAACGAAGCAGAGAAGGCCAACACTTCCTTTCACGTCAAGGAGTTTCCACAGCCAAACACTAGTTCCGTAARTGCAAATTCTCATGGTAAAAACATAACCACTCACAAGTTCTTTTAAAATACCTTTCAGTCGATGGCTCAGAATCTGCTCCAGAATGGCTGCAAAATTATTAAATTCGGGGGAGGAATCGTCAATAGTCTCAAAGCAGGAACGGTCGATCAGGGTCTTCACTGAAAACCTAGGACAAAAGAGCAGGACAATCATAAACTTTACAGATAACTATTGGCCCATATAGCCATACATAGCCAGTGGACATAGCTATCTTTATCAAGACAGAGTTTGGCACAAAACAAACAAAAAAAACCTATAAAACCGCTTTGATGACTGCACAGTCAGTCTGAACAACCTAACTCATACCACATTAGGAAACAGCCTGGAAATACAATCAATACACTRTTTTTAAGAGTATGGTTTTAAGAACAAAAACCCAAGTCCTTCTGCTTTCTGAGTAATAGAGAGCCATTTCTTCTCCTCTCCTCTAAACTGGCTTGATAAAGTTGGAAAAAAAAGGCCACTGAAAGCTACTAAATAGCAATTTTTCTTCCTAATCCTGAGGTTTCCCTCAAAATTCCTTCTATGCCCAAAATCCATGCCCAAGAATCAGAAATATGAACTTTAACCTATCACAGGAACAGTGTAATTACATCCTAACACAAGAATAATCCCAGCACACTATACAACTGTAAATTTTTACCCACTATTAACTCTGCACATTAACTTGCACAGGCTGATTTTCCTGTAAATGGGTTAAATCCCTTTTCAGCATCATATTACTTCACTGTTAAGCTGGGGTGGAGGGCGGGGGGAAGCTATTAATCTGAGTGATTTAACTTTTGAAATTGGAAAGTCTGAATCAAACCACTGTCTCAAAAGCAGATAATCTGTTACCAGTCAATTACCGGTCTTAGCTGTGTCTAGTTACATTAGTTAYGTTTGTACTTACCCAACTTTAACCTAAGAAAATGGAATTTAAATCACAAGAAACACGACAAATACATTTTTTCTTCTCTTTTCTATTCTATCATAATCAATTTTAATTACCCTTTGTGCTTTTCCAAAGGCAAGTTTCATATGCTCTTAACTTCCAACGTAACCCTTTTTCTGAGATATTTATTGAGCTTTGTGTAACAACGAGCTCGACAGTTGTATTGCTGCCATGGAACTGGARCCCAAGCACTTGAGAGGGGCAGGCATGCAGGGACTCTTAAGTACAGATCTATCCATAATAAAGTGGTTCCCAGCGTGACAGTGCTACAGCACAGCTGAAGCAGCGACGTGCTCGACAGAGAGCGGCAGGAACACGGCTCTTCAATCCTGCAGCCTGCTCTGCACTGTGAAAGTAACTTCCAGTCACGCTACCGCACCTCTCCTGGAGTCGGCTCAGCCTCCTCATGCTCATTTACTAGGCGAAACCATCCCAAGCTGTGCTCTCACTGAACAGGTATATATTTTTCTTTTTCAATTATGTTGTATCAAGTAAACTTCTGAAAAAGATTCTCCATCCTGTCTTTTCTGTGAGCTCCTCCTGTTGCTGGAGCGCTCCTGGAAGGGCAGGGAAGGCAGGGCAGGGAAGACTGGGGAAGCTGCTTGTCACGTCGTGACTCCTCCACAATTTTTATCCTTTCCAAGCGAGATGAGCATGGCCAGCACTTAACCAGCAACCTGCCACCAGCACCACTACACCCGCCCTAAGGGCAATAACAAGCAGTTTTCTCAAAGATACACCACACTCATGGGATTATCTACCAACAAAACAAGCAGGTCAGCACTCGGCGCAGCAAGAAGGCTCTGCCCCACCACACAGGAAGGGAAAGCAGGAGGTGCCGCACACGGCGCGGTTACGGGCACAGATGCAAATAACACAGCGAGCAGCAACGCAGCGCGACTGCACAACATATATATATACAGTAACAACACCTTAACACTCAAGAGACCCAATCATCACACAATCTATAAATTGCAAAACAGATCACTGCCTAATATGGAGCTATGTCTGTTTTCTCCTTTTCTCGGTGTCCTATTTAAAAGTTCACTYGTTAAGACTGCATGGTATGCACGTTCACAAATGGAGATATATTCAGAGAGGAACTWGAGAGCAATTCAGATATTCGTCTAAAATAACAGGTAAGTAACATTTTTTATTTTAAAACATTCAGCAACTCATTAGAAAAAAAATAATATTGTATGTAGTTTTTAAAGAGCTGAGTTTCCACAACTTTGAAATACCAACTGGAAAGGACAGTCCAACATCCTGTTATCTTTAATGATGCTCTTTCTAATCACTCATACTACTCCCACCACGTGCTCTACACGTCTAAACCTTTATGGTTRTGAGCCTTCACTTCTGTCAAGTTTGACTAAAATTGGCCTCAAGGAGAACAAATAACAAACAGGGCAAATACACTTTATTTTCGTACAACAGGACGATAAAAACCCTATCAGTCAAATTGTGACTGGATGGAAATATTTTCTGGGAGACTTGAAAAAAATACTTACAGACTAAAATGCAAGAAGGAACCATTGAGTCTAAGGTCCCTCTACACAGGACAGTATAGAAACAACGCCCAGGTAGCTGTGATGCTGTATTAGAAGATCAGGACAAAATGCTTTGCTTTTTTTTCCTCCATTTGTTGTTCCCACTTGATATTCTCTTTCAGGTCTACTTATTGCAGCATTGCTAAAGGCACAAAAGTGGCTTTAAACAAACTTAGGGTCTTSTAAGATGAGTTCTGCCGTGGACTGCAGCAGTATTGGAATAATTTAGCCCCCGCTCAGAGTCTTCATGTCTTTTATCCAACCAATTCCTATGTCTCACTGCAGTGGGACTTTTTGCATGGAAGTAACTGCAGCTAATGCAAAAAGAGATCCAAACAAGGGTGGTTCTGAACAGCCCCTGCGACCTTTGGTGTTTTCAGCTCCTTACATCTTGCCTGTCATGAGCACGGCCTTGTTCGTGTCACAAAAAAAGCTGTAGAAGCAGTAGCAATTTGAGCAACAAATTGAGCAAGAGTTTCTGAACTCTTACTCAAGCAGGAGGAAACAGTCTTGGATTAGAAAGATTTACAGTAAGTTTTCTAGGATAGGTTCTTAACTCCAAGACAAACTCAAGGTGGACCTACACGCTAGAAGCTTCATTTCAAACACGTATTGCTTTCTTTAAGATCTATTGAACAGCAATATGCTTCTAATGAAACAGGGACTGGGTAGAAAATACAACTGCTATCTGCATTTGTTATTTTTCAGTGCTATATTTGGCTTCTCTCAGTTTTCAGATAACTGGAAGCATCTTTGCAAATAAATTTGAAAAGATTAGCTTGCAATTTGAGAAGAAGAAAATTTCAGTTCGATCTTAGATTAAGATCCTCCCTTTTGATCTTTATCTATGTATATTAAAGGGGAAAAAAAAAAGTCTCAAAATCCCAGCACTATTTTCCAGCGCTACTGGAAAATGGAAGGCATCAAAGCTCAAAAATAAAGGGGGAGGGGAGAGCTTAGAACATGTATTTTATTTAATATAATAACCAATAACCATAATAATCAATGCATTTTAACATTGGTTAACATTATTCAAAGAACCTCCTAAAAATTATTGTTATTTAAGTCACTGCTGTGCTGTTCCACAAGCACAACCAGCTGTTTCCACCTGCAATTAGTTTATGGAAGTTATCAGTCACTACCTTCCATACCGACATTGCCATCCAATATTTTTAGTAAAACAAACTGTTCCTTCCGTGCATAAGGAAGTATCCACATCTGCACAAGAGGTTAGAAATCATTACCAAAGGAAGAGACTAAAAATCCAAATCCTGCTTTAACTACTGAATAAAGCTGCTAAATTAAAAGTTTCTGGAAAAAAAWAAATTTTCAGAGACTGTTACCAGATGGTAATTCAGAAGAATGTCTCCCTTGTAATCTCTCACCTTCACTGGGGAGCAGATGGGATCAGCCAAATTTAACCGAGTCAGTTCAATGGAGGTTCTTGTTTTGTTGTTCTAACGGTTTATTTCTTATTGTCATAGAATTTAATCAAAATGGACTATTACTTTAGTAGTTTTGATACTTATCTCAGCATTTCTTAACTATATTTTTCAATACTAGAAAATATGTACTAACTACAGAAAGGCACAGAAGTATTTTAAACATTTTTATGAGGCTAACCAATATAAATAAATGTGTGCATACCATTTTGTTTTTACTGAAAACTCAAATATTTTACTAAAAATAATTACAGCATGATCTATTTGARTGAGTGGTTCCTCTAATAGTCCTCCTCACATACTTTTGACTGAATTTCTTCCAATCCCTAAGCTACCTCACCTATGTTACCACACCATTTTAGCTGCTAGGAAAAGCATACAAAATATGCAGACTGAAAAAAAATATTTAACGGCATCGGGCACAAAATATTTCCTTGCAAATGATGCAGAATGAACGAGCAAGCACTGCTGAATGCAGGATAAAGAACTGTTTATAGTCAGGTGCAGTCGTGCATTTGCTTGATAAAACCCCAAGACTGCAGATTGGCAACACCAGCATTATCTGGCAACAGCAAAGCAGAGCCGACAGAAGTGAACACTCACTTCTACCTATTCTGCTTCAGCAAGTTTAGAAAAAAAAATGCATATTTTTCTCTTTTTCTGTGTTGTTCACCCCCCTTCCCCAGGAAGCGGGAGACATAAGCATACTAAATACCCCAGGAGGCAGAACAGCACCGAGGCTGCTCTGAATCCTGGACACTAGGACTTCAAGGGCTACTGAAACAGGTAAAACCCATTCATTTCAGCTGTTAAAACCCATTAAAGAGCGCACAACAAAAGCAGGAGAAGAACACGGGTTCCTGGACTGTTTGTAAAAATAGTGCGATGCGCTGTTACCTAACAGCTGCCTTGGTCCGTGGCAAAAACCAGCGCAAACGAAAACAGCGCCAGGGTTGAGGGGAGGCCGCCCGGGGGACACCGGCTCCGCTCACCGCGCGGCGGGGGAAGCCGCGGAACCGCCGCGCGCGCGCGCGCGCGCGCTCCAAAGTTTGCGATGACGTCATGGGCCAGCCCTGCATCCCTGCGAGCGCCGCATGGGATGTGACAGGGACAGCAGGGAGAGCGCTACATGCAAAACCACCGGAATCGGCTTATATAAGCTCAGCATCAAGTCACACGCGCACAAAAAATAACAGTTTCCTGGATGTGATGGACACTGCTGACCTCCCGGGCTAGGTTTTGGAGACAAAACCGCCCCGAGAGGGCGGCCCCGCCGCCCCCGCGCTGCTCCCGCGCCCGCGGCGCCTTCGGGGAGGGACCGGCCGCGTCCCCGGCCGCTTTCGGTTTCGCTCTAAGTCCGGGAGAGCTGATGCTGAAAGGGCAGCGCTTAAAGCCGGGCGTGCGGTAACTGAGGAATGACCACAAAAAATCAAAAATAAGAATGAAGACACACACGCGGATGAGCCGCAGCAGGATGACATATAAATATATATACATATGTGTGTGTGTGTGTGTATAATGTATACACATCTCATGGACCCCGCGGGGGTGGGAGGCTCCCAGCCCGCCCCGCCGCGCGCCCCCGACCCCGCCGGGCGCCACCATCGGGAGCCGCCGGCCGCTCCGCTCCGCTCGCCGCCCGGCCCCGCCGCGGCCGCGCCGGGCGCCGCCGTTCACCTGCAGACCGTGATCAAGTTCCGCCGCTCCACGGCGGCGTTGCGCGCCGGGACGCTCCTCCTGCGCGCTGCGGCGCCGAGCCCCCCCAGGCCGAGGGACGCCATGTCGGGCGGGCGCCGGCGGGACGCAGCGCTGGCCCTTTGTTCGCCGCCTCCGGCGCGCG